AATGATGTACTGACATTCCCTCTCAGGACAGGTTCTTCACATAGTTAATCCACTCCATAAACTTTAGATAAAAAATCATAAACCAGGAGGCCAGATATTAAGATCAGTAAAGGAAGAACTTGCTCCTTTCTCTTCGTTACCTGAGACACAGACAGGACATGAACCCCACTCCACCCCTCACACCCCTCCAGCTATGATGTGCTTCTAGGCAACTTCCCGTACTGTAATACTTTGGAAGGAAGGAATGACTCCCTGCATGGGGAGAAAAGAGCAAAGAAGAAAAATCAGAATGCTAAGTAGGGGCTTCTGAGGCTTTCAAGAAATAAAGTCTTTTCAAGTCAGCATCCTTTAATACTAGCAATAGCTGCTGAGAGGAGGGGAAGTCCACAAGGCAAGAAATTCAAACAGGCCTGGGGGTTTCACTATGAGAGAAACTTACTTCCCCTTTCAAAGTAAAAGGGAAGACTCAGATTTTCACCCCAGCAGGGTCACGCTGTGTATAGAATCAAACAGACAGCACTGGCCCCATAACCAAACAGACGAAAGAGGGAGGCAGGCGAGCGCATGTGAAAACAGAACCCTGCTCTGCCCGAGAGGGTGACATCAGCATTTAATGCCTGGGGGACAGGAGGCAAATGAGGTTAAAACTCCATCCAAAGGGAAACACAATTATCTGTTAGTTTCCCTGGGGCTTCTAATCCCTGGCTTCCTTCCCAGGGCTGTGAGAACTGCCCGCAGTGTCCTCTCCCCAGGTTTCTGTTTCCCCTAAATGCCCCATCTAGTCATAAACGCCCCTTCAGTCGTAAACGTGTTTTCTCTCAGTCTTGTCTAGACAATTTCCAATAGGAGGCCTGGGAAACAAGCGAGGAACGCGCCTCATCTGAGGGCGTCGGCCCCAGCCTTCAGGCCCAAGGGCCAAACCTGCTCCGCGCCGCCTAATGAGGCGCAGCCCGACCACTCCGCCGGCCTCTGTCCTGCTGGCAACCGGAGGAAGTTCGCCACCTCCGGATAAAAAAAATAAGACTGTACCTCGAGTGACTCCTAAATGACCCCAGCACCTCCTCCTCTCGTTCGGTAGACTTCCGTCCCAGTCACCGCGACCCAAGGCCGAACGACCCTCCTAGACCTGGCCCGGCGGCCTCCGCCCCAATGACCCGGCCCCTCCGAGGCCAACAGTCCCGCCGGCCTCAGCCCAAGCCTCGCGTGGAAGCTGCAAACCGGACTCCGCTCCCGGCGTCCTTCGGGGAAGCGCCACCCCCTCGGGTTGGGAGGTGAGGGTCGAGGGGACACGCAGGAGGCAGAGGGGAGAGATCCCGAGGCGCACAGACACTACCTTTCTTCTCGACGTGCTTCATGGTGGGAGCAGCGCAGGTAGCGGAAACACCAGCAGGGCCACCAGCGGAGCAAGATGCTCCGGCTGCGACGGCAGCTTCCCCACCGAAGGTTCTGTAAACTGACTGGCTGGGCATGCGCCGTGTGCTTACACCTGATGAGCCCAGAAGCGCGCAGGGCGGAGCCAGGCCGGGGGCCTCGGTTCCCTCACTGGTTCCCTGCGCACGTGTTAACTGTAGGCCTACTGATGCGCACGTGTTAACTGTAGGCCTACTGATGCGCACGTGTTAACTGTAGGCCTACTGATGCGCACGTGTTAACTATGCGCCTACTGAGTGCCAGGCACTGCGCTCAGCACTGCGCGCCGGCATGGACCCTCACAAGCCTTCCCTGTTCTAGTGGTGGAAGGAGATGTTCACCGTAAGATAGCAGATAACGTAACATTGCCTTGCATGTCCTTTGAATGAGGAGAGGCGCATAGTGTCATGAAATCACATGGTGGGGGACCTGACCAAGTCTGGGGATCAGGGAAGTCTCCCCAGGGGAAATGCTAACCTGGAAATCTAAGGTGGGTAAATTACTAAGCAGTAGGATAGGGAGGCAGATTAGGCACAGCATTCCAGGCAGGGAATAGCACGAGCAAAAGGAGTGTGATGGGAAGAAGCATTGCCCCTCTGAGGAACTGAAGGAGGAAAAGCAGAGTTGGTGGAGCAGAGAGTTATGCAAGAAGAGACTTGAAAAGTGGGCAAGGGCAGACCATTCTAGGCCTTGTTCTTTTTATTTTTTTCTTTTTGCGGTACGCGGGCCTCTCAGTGTTGTGGCCTCTCCCGTTACAGAGCACAGGCTCCGGACGCGCAGGCTCAGCGGCCATGGCTCACGGGCCTAGCCGCTTCGCGGCATGTGGGATCTTCCCGGACCGGGGCACGAACCCATGTCCCCTGCATCGGCAGGCGGACTCTCAACCACTGCGCCAGTAGGGAAGCCCTAGGCCTTGTTCTTTATCCTAAGAAGGTTCCATCTAACTCTCTTTGCTAGAAAAAATGGTCACTAGCTCTATGGTGTTTTGCAGTTGAAATTGCTTGTTGCCATTAATTTCATCAACCTGTGAGGTTAGTAATAGTTTTCTCAGCTGAGGGAACTGAGGCTCATAGAAGTTAAGTATTTGGCACACAGATGTTAAGTAGTAAGGCTGGGACCTGAACCCAGCTCCACCCTACCCATGGTCACAGTCATTACCAAAAATTAAACATAAACAAATGAATAAGCTGTGTCGAAGATCACCACAAGTTTTCTTCAAAAAGAATTCTTAATATTGTATTTAAGCATAATAATCCATCTAGAAACCAGTCCAAAAATGTGCATTGTGTAACAGAAAATGCTAGTATCTGTTCCCCTCCTACTCTACAGCGTGCATTCTCAATGCGGGGGAGGAAGGATTGCCCTCAAGGGGACAGAAAATTGGTTCCTTCGGGGGCTAAAAAATCTTAGATATTACAATGACTTATGGTCCACCAAAGTTCAACCCTACCCAACAAAATTTTATTTCTTAATTATTTTTTCTCTTTAAGAAGAAATTAAATTAAGATTTATGTTAATTTAAATTTGATCTAATTTATCTCAGGAGAAGCAATTATGAAAAAAAAAGTTTGAGAAACACTGTTCTACAGTATTGGAACCCTCAAATTTTAGTGGATCAACCAGAATAAAGATCACATTTCTTAACTTTCCCTGCAGCTACCTGTGGCCATGTGAATAAATTCTTGTCCAGGGTATGGACAAGTGATAAGTGAAGAAATGAGAGGCATGCCCTTTTTCTGCCTTCCCACCAAGCTGTACTTTGAAAGTGGACCTGGTGGCAAGCCCCCGTTGGCCACATGCATGAGGGCAGCAACGTAGAGATGGTGATAAAGCAACAAGATAGAAGGAGCCTGGGAGACCTCATGGAGATCTCAGAACCACCGTATAAGCCCTAGTCACCTGCCTCTGTTTGGGGAAACACACTTTTATCTAGTTAGCCACTATTAATTTGGATTTTCATTACATGCAACTGATCCCTTACTCTTATTATATTTTATTGTGGTAAAACACATGTAGCATCAAATTTACCCTCTGAACCATTTCTAAATATGCAGTTCAGTAGTGTTAAGTATATTCACATTATTGTATAACACATCTCTAGAACTTTTTCATCTTGCAACACTGAAACCCTAAACCCACTAAAGATTAATTTCATCTCACCCTTTCCCCCAGCCCTTGACACCCACCTTTCTACTTTCTGTTTCTAAGATTTGACTTTAGATACTTCCTGTGACTATTTGTTCTTTTGTGACTGGTTTATTTCTCTGAGCATAATATTCTCAAGCTTCATCCATGTTGTAGCATGTGACAAGATTTCCTTCTTTTTTAAGGCTGCATAATATTACATTGCATGTATATACAACGTTTTCTTTATCCATTCATCTGTCAATGGACATTTGGGTTGCTTCATTTCTTAGCTATTGTGAATAATGCTGCCTTGAACATGGGTGTGCAAATATCTCTTTGAGATCCTGCTTTGAATTCTTTTGAACATATTCCCAGAAGTGGGATTGTTGGATCATATGGTAATTCTATTTTTAATTTTTGAGAACCCTCTAATGTTTTAAGGAACCTCTATATTGTTTTCCATAATGGCTGCATCATTTTACATTCCCACCAACAGTGCACAAGGGTTCCAACTTTTCCACATCCTCGCCAACACTTGTTATTTTCTGGGTGGTTTTTTTTTTTGCGGTACGTGGGCCTCTCACTGTTGTGGCCTCTCCCGTTGCGGAGCACAGGCTCCGGACGCGCAGGCTCAGCGGCCATGGCTCACGGGCCCAGCCGCTCCGCGGCAGGTGGGGTCTTCCCGGACTGGGGCACGAACCCGTGTCCCCTGCAATAGGCAGGCGGACTCTCAACCACTGCGCCACCAGGGAAGCCCCTGTTTTCTGTTTTTTGATAGTGGCATCCTGGTGTGTATGAGGTGATAACTTGTGGGAAGCAGTCAGCCATCAGAGCAGGCTGCGGACGTGCCAGGCATGCTGCAGCTGCTCGAAGGGACTGTCCCTACTTGTTCCCCTCCTTGTTCCATTCCATGGGAGATAAATTACCAGGGTCCAGAGATCAGAAAGAATGTAAAATGAGACAAGCAAAGCTGTCTCCCCCCTGCACTTGCAGGTTATTTTTGATGATTCTGGGTTTATGGGTTTTCTCCCAGGGAAGTTAACCTTGAGCCGAGACAGTCTTCAGATAATGTAAACCACCGTCTGGCAACCTTCCCTTTTCTAGTCTATATAATCTGCAGCTGTAGCACAATAAAATTTGCCTTGCAACCAGCAGTAGTCTTGGTCCTGCGGACCCCATTTGTCGATGCTATTTCATGTCCTTACCCCTTCCCTTCTGGCTCTGATTGGTTTGATCTTCTTCGTTCGGCTGGTCTTCGGCAATAACTCATCGTGGTTTTGATTTGCATTTCCCTAACAATTAGTGACGTTGAACTTTTTTCATGTGCTTATTGCCCATTTGTGTATCTTCTTTAGAGGAATGTGTATTCGAGTCTGCCCATTTTTTAATCAGGTTATTTGGATTTTGTTGTTGTAGAAGTTCCATATAATATTAACTCCTTATCAGATATATGTTTTGCTCCCATTCCATAGGTTGCTTTTTCACTGTTGATTGTTTTCTTTGATACACAGAAGTTTTAAAGTTTGATGTAGTACCCATTGTCTATTTTCAACTGATCCATTATTCTATCTATTTAAAAAAATAATAATCTGTAGCAGCAATGACATAAAAAACAAAAAGAGGCTACCACAGTAGGAAATGACCTAGTCCCTGAATTAATTAAGATGCCTTTTAATGTATTTTGATTGTTTAAGATTGTTGGGTAAGCAATATAAGAAAAAATAAATGTGGCCATATATTATACATAAAGATATTCTACAAATAGTAAGAAAATTTGAAGAGTGTTTTACTTATCTGGACTTTAATATTTCCCATCTGGAAACCACATCTCCAGCCCTTCTTGTATGATGTTATTATATTCATTATATAACTTATTCTTCATCCAGGTGAGCAGCTGTTAGTGTGCTAAAGGCTGCCAGTGATGATGGTTTCACGTCTCTTATGATAAACTACCCATTTATGTGAAATGGAAAGATATAAATCATGCAGAAATTCCCTTGGATCAGAGAGTAGGGGTTCCCCCAGCACAATTAAGTTTGTGGTCAGTTTAGCTGGATCAGCTAAGACAACCAGCCAATCAGATTTTAGGAGGGAAACGGATTTCCTAAATAAATATGATTTCCAAGAGCATGTTCTCTAAAGAATTTCTCAGGCTTAGAATCAAATACAGGAGTGACTCAGTAGAACAAATACAGGAGCAACTCCATTCTACCACTATGAAGAAAAGTGGCGTTCCTCTCCTTTTGGGTATCATCTTCCTGACTCTGATTGGAGTTCAAGGTAAGGGATTCTGAGTTATATTGGGTTAGTCAAGTCAGAGATGTGAACTGCTAGAAAAGTCTCTTGATTTGCCAGTAAAGTAACTGCTTTGTGTGCATCAGAAAGTGATGTGAGTCAGTTGTTGTCAGTTATCCAAAGTTCATATCTTGGACCTGCCAAGTCAAATACAAGTCTTCTCAGTCCACGTGTGTGAATTCCTGGCACAGAGTAAGTGTTCAATAAATGTTTGTTGAACTGGGTGATGAGATGGAAGACTTTGTCTCCTAAATTATTTTTGTCACCCTGACAGTGTTTCTTGATAAGTATGTCTGTGGTTAACAAATTAAGTATCCAATAATCAGAGAGGTTGTCCCTAATCTGTTTACTAACTTCCTTTGTTATTTGGGGCAAATTAATGAACTTTTCTAGACTTCAGTTTCCTCAGCTGTAAAATGGAAATTTTATAGTTATGCTTTTTCTACCTACTATACAATGTATGGCATATAGGAAGTACTGAGTAAATGTATGTTGAATAAATGAAAAAATTAAGGAATGAAGATAGTGTATTTTAAAGAATTTTCAAAAGTTTAAAGTACTACTGAAAACCAAGGCAGTGGGAAAGATCAGGATGGTGGTGGTAATTAGTTATTGTAAGCGGAGCTTTTTGTTGAAACGAGTACCAACTCCATTTCACTAAGGTCAGATAAAAAATGGCTTTGGGAGTTGCTTGAGATACTATGGTCTGCATAGCACACACGAATTAGGTCTCTGTGTATCTGACCTGTGATAGACATTTATTGAATATTATAAAAATCCCTTTTCCTAAGGTTGTAAAATATGGTAGTTAAGAGTAATGCCTTTGGACCCAAAGAAACCTGTGCTGAGACCCTGCACTTGTCCCCTAAAAGCTGAAAGGCTTTGTTTTTTACTTAACTTCTCTGAACCTTGGATTCTTTATCTATAAACCGGAGATAACACCTACTCAAAATCTCGTGGTAATGATTAACAGACACTCAGTAAGTGATAGTAATAATCATGACTGAGTCAAATGTATCATTTGGGTGGATCACCTAAATTGAGACATTGCTCTAAATCGATGTTTTCTACCTCTCTTTCCCCCTTAGGAACTCCAACAATGAGGAATGGACGCTGTTCCTGCATCAACACCAGCCCAGGGACGATCCATTCAAAATCCTTAAAGGACCTTAAACAATTTGCCCCAAGCCCTTCTTGTGAGAAAACTGAAATCATGTAAGTAAAAACTCATCCAACACATAGGCTCCAGCAATAAGTTTAGTGTGAGTATTACCCTCAGAATACTTGCCCATTCAGACACTTAAAATGCAGATAGTTGCCCCTCCATAAATCCAGTCTACTTCTTCCTTTTCTTCTAAAACAACAAGCAATATCTGGTAGAGGTTAGGAACCAAAGATGACATGTTCATTGTAGAAAATGTTTAATGTAAATGACCCAAAAGAAGAAATTAAAAATCGTCTGTAATCCTACCATTCAGTGATAGGTAGTGTTAATCTCTCTGCATATAGTCTTCCAAATCTCCCTCATTGGCTTTGTGTGTACATATATAGACGCTATATATATATATATTTATACACACAATATATGTACCCAAAAATAAAATCATACACTACATACTGTTTCGTAATCTGCTTTTACATTAACACTATATAATGAACATTTCCTGTCAGTAAATCTTCTGTAATAACATCATTTTCTCCTAATAATGTCAATTTTAATGGCCAAATTTTATTCTATCATGTGGACGTACCATAATCTATATGACCAACACCTAAATGTAGGTTATTTCCAATTTTTTTGCTATTGAAAACAAACTGCTATTGTAGCAATATTGTGTCTTTAATTCTTTCCTATTAGTAATACCTTTCTAGAGATTAGAATTGCTAGATTAAAGGATATGCCTATTGTAAGTTTTTTGAAACCTAAATCAAGGATGATGTATAGAATGACTACTCTTATTCTTAGATTAGACAGAAATTAAAGAAAATAGTCTTTAAATTGTTCCTGGAGAGTCTGATGTAATTTTAAAAATTCAACCAGTCTGTTAATCTTGTCTTAAGAAAACATTTTATTTATGTTTTAAGTTGTTTCACTAGAAAATTTAGCAAAATTCATGCTCATTTTCATTGTTTTGGGGGAAAAGAAAGTAGATATATTGGCAACTTGTCTATTTTATATTTTCACTTAAACCTAAATAGCGTTTTCCATCATAACAGAACCAATGTTATCTTTAGATTTAACTTTCTCCTATTGCATATACCTGTTGGATTTTTTCAACTTAGAGTTATGTGCTATCCTAGAAATGTATCTAAGTCCCCTCAGTCACTTAAAAAATGAAAAGGCAGGAAAAAGACTGGAAGTCTCAGATGCTTATAGTGATGACACAAGCACATTTTTAATTGGGGAATTGAATTCTGTGGATAAGATGAAGCATTTAAATTATTAAAAGTAAAAAGAAAAATCTTGTTGCTATTTCTTTGGTAGTGCTACAATGAAGAATGGGGCTCAAACCTGTCTAAACCCAAATTCAACAGATGTGAAAGAATTGATTAAAGAGTGGGAGAAACAGGTTGGTGAAAAAAAGGAACAAAATTTTCTTTCTTTTAGAAATTAACTTTGGAAAACAAAGAATCATGTCGTCCCTTTAAGGATACGTTCTTCATTCATGTTATTGTGCTCCTATTTTTTTCGTAGAATGATGTCATCACCTTGAGGTGTAATGGTAGTCCTGCTTACAGTATCACTTGTCTATCTCTCCCACTAGAATGTGTGTTCCATGAGGGTAGGCAGCTTGTCTTTCTTATCCAATACAATAAATGCGTATTGAGTGGTAGACAGTGAGGATAGAAAGGATATAAGGTAGGGAATTCCATGGTGGTCCAGTGGTTAGGACTTGGCACTTTCACTGCCAGGGCCCGGGTTCAATCCCTGGTTGGAGAACTATCGCATGGCATAACCAAAAACAAAAAAAAAGGTAATAAGATAAAGTCCCTTCCTTCTGTAGCAAATTTGCTAACAATTAATTATAGTACAATGTGAAAAATATAAAATAAATATATGTACAAGAATCTTGAAGATAATAGAAGAAGGAGTAATTAACTTTGCCAGAGGTGAGGGGACAGGAAGAAAGGGTTAAGGAAGACTTTTTATATCAGGTGACATTTGATTTGGGTCTTGAAGGATAAGTAGTTCACCAGGAGGGTAAGGACAGCATAAAAAACCGACTAGAATCATGAGAGAGCTCACTGTGTTCCAGGAACCTCGGGTAATGTGGCTGGAGTTTGTGTGGAGGGAGTGAAGGGATTGAGATAGAAAAGTAGACCAGGAAAGGGGGAAGAATCCTGCATGGTGTGCTAAAGGGTTAAGTTTGAAGAGGGCCACAGAATATGTAGTTGGGCACTTGGTTCTGGACTCTGACAGACTAGCAGTTCTGCCACATACTAGCTGTGCAACTTTGGGCAAGTCACCCGCTCCGAGCCTCAGTCTCCTCATCTGTAAACATTGGATGATAATAGTACCAACCTCAGAAAACTATAGTTGGGACAGGTGGGTCATAAGCAAGATTGCAGTGGGGGTAGTAATGAGCCCAGAAAATGGACAGAAGAGAACCAGTCAGAAGGCTACTGCCTCCTCATCAAAGTGAGTGAAATAGAATCAAAAAGAGCCCCTCTGAGACTGAAGCAACTTTAAACTGGTTCTGAGGATAAAGAAAGACCACAGTCTGGAGAGTCCAAATATAATATAAGGAAGGAAAAAGGGTAAGATAGAGAAACATTACCCTTTTTTTTTCTGTCTCCTCACAGGTCAACCAAAAAAAAAAGCAAAAAAAAGGGAGAAAATATAAAAAAACCAAGAAAGTTCCAAAAGTTAAAAAATCTCTACATCCTCCTCAAAAGAAGACTACATGAGCTACCATTTTACCAGCAAGTATTTTGTGTTAAAAAGTTTCTTTTTAACTATACTGAAATAATTCCAAAAACGGATGGCATCTTAATACATAAGCTTGTTGATTTGAACTAGAAAATTTAAAGCATTATTTTGAAATTGTAATTAAAGGTAGAAAGTTGCTTTTAAAATCCAGCTGTGAAGAATTGTTAGAGGCTAGAGTTTGTCTTTGTTCTTCCACCTCTGACCAGCTGAATTTCATCATGCTTAAGCCCACAATCTCCGTAACGCCCACATCTGGACAAATGTCCTCACAACCGCATCCCACACACAACAGCTGCCTGTGAGAACAGCTGTAGGCTTCCCAGGACTCCAGAGAACATCCTGAGGCACACGTCAGCAGGCCCCAGCCTGGGAGCATGCTGGTAAGCGGAGCAGTTTGGAATCGAGCTGGACCTCACCAAGTTGCCATGGCCGCCAGCATCTGTATTTGAATCTGCCTGTGGGCCTCTCATACAATGCATCTGAGATATCCGTGCCGTGTATAACTGTACCATTTACATATACATGTACACTCTCTAAGCAAATAATTAAGTGCAAAGCAGTATTGACATATGTACCCTGTAGTCTGAAATATTTTCTTTGTTAAAAGACAATGCTATCAATAAATGCACCACTGATCAGAAAACAAGTCTTGATTTTTTAATGTCTCAGACATGTACCTCAACTATTGCACGTGTAACGGTAATTCTCATGTGTCCTTATTCATTTGGTTTCATCTCAAATAAAGTGTAATTGAGATAAAGACATGGAAGCTCTTTAAAGTGCTCTTTGGAGACATAAAAAAACTTCAGCATAAAATTTGACAATACCTTATAACAACATTGACTTACAAGAGTTTATGCGGTATGCAATTTATTTCCTAATCCTCAAGGGCAATGCTATTCCAATAAGAATATACCCAGGAGACCAAAAATGTCCTGACTCTTTTCCATAACCTAAAAATATATATGTTTAAATATTATAAAGCCTCAAGTAGTTATGGAGACCCAAACATAGGATAAGTTATTCCAGAGTCCAGAAAACTTGGGCTGGAGGTATGATGCAGTATGGAGTCTCTAAGAAGGTTGGGAGTGGACAGAGAATACCAGCCTTGTACGTTTGAGATACACTTGAGAGGCCAGATATGTGTGATATTTGAGCAGGTAGCAGCTGCTGATGGTGAACATGACAAAGCCCACAAGGACCTTAACCTGAGACACAGCAGTATGCTGTGGAGAGAGCTAAGATTCTGGCTTCTGAGATATCTGAGTTAAGATCAATCCCACCACTTATTAGCTGTGTGACCTTGGTTCAAGCACACTTTTTAACCTCCCTGTACACCAAGTTCCTCCTCCAGGATTGCTGTGAGGAACAGGCCCAGCATAGATCTTGGTGCATAGCAAGTCCTCAGGGTCAGTCCCAGCCTCCCCCGACCATTTACCTCTGCTGCACTTTCTTCGCAACAGAGGGTGTTTCACATCTCATACACACAGAGAAATGTTTCCAGGACTGAGAAAATAGGTTGGAGAAATGAGATCAAAAGCCTGCCTGACCAGTTCTCTGTATCTATATTTTTATACCCATAGTCCAGATCATCATTGTCTCTTTTTTTTTGGTGGTACACGGGCCTCTCACTGTTGTGGCCTCTTCCGTCGCGGAGCACAGGCTCTGGACGTGCAGGCTCAGTGGCCATGGCTCACGGGCCCAGCCGCTCCGCGGCATGTGGGATCTTCCCGGACTGGGGCACGAATCCGCGTCCCCTGCATCGGCAGGCGGACTCTCAACCACTGCGCCACCAGGGAAGCCCGGCCATTACTCTTGATTAGATGTAGTGACAGACACTGTGGATCCCAGCTTGCACTTGCTCTCCTCTGAGTTCACTTTGTCTTCATGACTGGTGGCCTTGCAACCAACAATGGTCCCAGGTCCTCCACCAGATGCTTGGAAGTGGACCTAGAGAGGCAGTAGTTACATAGAAGCAATAGCTTCCCATAGGTCCCTAGCAGTCCCAGTTTGGCAGCCGGACAGTCTTAGCTTTTTGGATTTTTCTCACGAACTCTTATGTGTATAACTGTACCAGTGCTTCTGAAGGTTTGGTCAGTGAATCTTTCTCCAGTCCCTTGACTATCCTCCCAGACTTTCATTTCCCAAGATCCTCCCTCATCTGTGTAACATCTGATTCCTATAGTAAATCCTCTAATCCCTTAATATTCAGAGCGACTCTGCTTCCCTAACTGATACACCTGTGCCCGAAGCACTCTTCTTTGCACAGCTGTTCCTGCCTCTTCATTTGAATTTCAGCTTCAATGTCACTTCACAGTCTCCTTCCCTTATCACCCTTAGTGAAATAACCATCCTCTCCCCAGACCCTGTCTGTTGTAGTGCTTTCCAAAGTGGGATGTGTACACCCTATGGGGTAGATAAAATTAGAGTATTTATAACATATTTTGTCTGAAAAATAAGAAAGAAGTGAAGATTTACTCTAAATCTGAAGTCAGCAATTGATACTGGCAGCTTCACTCAATGCATTTGTCAGGTGAGCCTGTGTCACATACAGATTTCCTGTGGAAAAAGTGAGACTTCCTTACCTGGGAGGGATTGACATGCGCCCTCATTCAGTCACTTTCTTCACTTTGCAACAATGGGTTGCCACTTATGTGGGCACAGTCCTCCATGGCTAACTCTAAACTAGAACCAGGATCATGGGGATAATAAGACAGACTGCTAACTAAGCCAATCTTGACAAAACGGGCAAGTGGCTTTAAAAGATTCCTAAGGGGACTTCCCTGGTGGTCCAGTGGTTAAGACTCCATGCTCCCAATGCTGGGGGCCCGGGGTCAATCCCTGGTCAGGGAACTAGATCCCACATGCATGCCGCAACTAAGACCTGACGCAGCCAAATAAATATTTTTAAAAAAGAAAAAGATTCCTACTAAGAAATTCATGTGGAAGATAATAATAATGCAAACAAACTAACAAAAGAATAAAACATCCATACAGGGGATGCCTGTTCCAATTTTACCTAGAAGGCACACGATTTTTAAAAATCTGGTAGCTATGGTCTGTTTCATTCTCCTTTATCAGATAAATCAATCTAACTGGGCTTCCCTGGTGGCGCAGTGGTTGAGAGTCCGCCTGCCGATGCAGGGGACACGGGTTCGTGCCCCGGTCCGGGAAGATCCCACATGCCATGGAGCGGCTAGGCCCGTGAGCCATGGCCCCGGAGCCTGTGCTCCGCAACTGGAGAGGCCACAACAGTGAGAGGCCCGTGTAATGCAAAAAAAAAAAAAAAAAAAAAATCAATCTAACTTCATCAAATCTGAAATTATCTTTTAAAAATATTTATATAGCTATTTCCTGTCCCCTACCCCACCACAAACAATAATTTTCTTGACTACAGAAAAGTTTATTCTCTTCACCACTGCATCTATAGTGTCTAGAACAGTGCCTGGTACTTTGGAAGCACTTAATAGGTATTTCTTCAGTTGATTGACATATGCTTTACCCTAAATTTTCTTTCATGTCTTTTCCAAATCAATCTGAACTACTCTTGTCATGACATCTAAACTCACCATGCTCACTTCCGCCTTCAGCTTTGCTCACCCTCTTTTATTCACCTGCTCCATTCACCTCCCACCCCCATCTAACTGATTCCCGCCTATATATGATTCAAGTCTTGCTTTTCCATCCCAGAATGCTCCCAGTCACACTGAATTCCTCTCCCTGTGACTGCCCTGTTGTAAAGTGGCCTTAACTCTTAAGAATTGTTCTCTGATTTAAAATTTAAATTATTTTGCTATACCAGAAAGCAGTTTGTATCAGAACAAATTTTATATATTAGAGCAATGGGTAATCAGTGAAAATATTAAATCTGTAAGCTATACGTTTAAATTGAAATGCCAGTGATCAGTGGTCAGTTAATTAGGAGAAAGCTATTTGAGGTTTCTTTATCCCTCCTAGGAAGATGCAAAGTTGCTTTCTTATTAGAAAGGAAGATAAAGAGAGAAACTGCAATCATAGGTGCTTTAGAATACGGTCACTCTGTTTTCTGGCCGGTATAGAGAGGATGAAATTAGGTGAGAAGGGAAAACAAGCAACCTTTCTTACATATAAGGAGTTAATTAGCTTCTAGGCAGTCACCTGAGGCATTTTGAGGCAAGTTAATTTAAAGTTCCCAGGAGAGTTTTTGATCCTACATTTTGTGTGTGTGTGTGTGTGGTACGTGGGCCTCTCACTGTTGCAGCCTCTCCCGTTGCAGAGCACAGGCTCCAGATGCGCAGGCTCAGCGGCCATGGCTCATGGGCCCAGCCACTCGGCGGCATGTGGGATCTTCCCGGACCGGGGCACGAACCCATGTCCCCTGCATCGGCAGGCGGACTCTCAACCACTGCGCCACCAGGGAAGCCCGATCCTACATTTTAAGGAAGTAAATAAATCACAAATGAGTAATCAAACCTAAGTGTGTGAATGAGAGTGTGGACTGGGGCAAATTGGTAAAAGATTACAGGGAAAGGTGTCAAGTTCTATAATACATAACTATTTGCTTTCTTTAAAAGTTTGCTATATAATGGACTTCCCTGGTGTCACAGTGCTTTACAATCCACCTGCCAATGCAGGGGACATGGGTTCAAGCCCTGGTCTGGGAAGATCCCACATGCCACAGAGCAACTAAGCCCGTGTGCCACCACTACTGAAACTTCGCTCTAGAGCCCGCGAGCCACAACTACTGAGCCCGTGAGCCACAACTACTGAGCCCACGTGCCACAACTACTGTGGCTGCACACCTAGAGCCCACGCTCTGCAACAAGAGAAGCCACCGCAATGAGAAGCCCGCGCACAATGAAGAGTAGCCCCCGCTCGCTGCAGCTAGAGAAAGCCCACGCGCAGCAATGAAGACCTGACACAGCCATAAATAAATAGATTTATTAAAAAAAGAAAAGTTTGCTATACAAATTTTAAAATCTCATCCTTTAACTATACTATTTCACTTTACTGTTTCAAGTTGACTATTTTCATAAGGAATTTTTTTGCTTAAAAAAAAGAAAAAAGTTGCTGGGACCTCTATCTTCAGGGAATGAGGCCGTGGCCTCTGCCTTCTGCGTAGAGTGTAGGACCAAGTGGGCCCAGTCACCTACCATCAGCTTTCCTTAACCATCTGAGTAGACAACCTGAGCTTCCAATAGAAGGAGGAACTAACATCAAAATCTATAAGTGTGAGAGGAGAAATGACAAAGTAAATTATTAACAGAGAGGGAAAACGTGTTGTTACTTAGAAAGAGTAATGCCAGCAATCACTTCTACAGTATTAAAAGCAGCAGAACATACCTCAAGGCAGATGTCTCTTGTTTGGAGACTTTGATTAGGGCCAGACTGGCTGGGGGTTTTTATGGAATGGAACTTAAAGCAAATGCAAGCTAAATCTCCCTGAATAGTATGGGAACAGAAATGACCTCTGGCAGCTAGGGAGGGTGTTGGGAATTCTGAAACAGCAACCTTTCTTACCAGTTTGTTTTTTAAAAAAGAGAGGCAGAAGAAGGAGATGGGAGTAAAATGCCACTGTAAAAATGACAGCAGGCTGGAGTAAAGGTATAGAAACCAGTGAGAAATTTCCTGTGGTGGGATGACCAGCTTGCTGGCTT